AACAGATCAAGTATTTTAAAAAGTGTTGCATGTTGAAAAGAAGCGGTAATGTAAAATGACTAGAAGAAAGCACAGGATATGCGCTGAAAATTAGAGGAGGGACGATAAGAATGAAAGGCAATGTGTGTGGTCATCCACGTATTATATATGGTACCTTTGATGAAAAAGACTTCTTTCCCGCTATCCACGAGTCAGTACCCCCTGGACCTATATTATAACTATTATCTGTTTCTTTTCACATAACTGGGCTCCCACTGTAAAATTTAGAATGATGCGAAAGAAAATTCGAAAGTGCAATTTACTTTAAAAGTTTTCTAATATTGATATTACCTGCAAATTGCATTAAAATTAGCTAACTACAGAGCACAAGAAATATAGTAAGACTAGAATTCTCTTATTGCGAGAGTTGAGTTTAGTACTGTATGCAAATAAAAGTTTTCAGTTGGTTTCGTCTAGTTGAACCTTGCTAATAGCCGAATGATAAAACACTTGCCGATAGTTTGATTTAGGTTCAAACATATGTGAATGGGATGACTGCATAATAAGTATTTCATGCAAAGTCAGTTTCCCTTAGAAAGCCCTTCACGATGGCAGATCGTGAAGTATGTTTGCAATAAATAGCTGTCTTATGTTCTGCAATATCCAAATAGTATAAACTATTTTTTATTGAAAATGAATAAATTATGCGTTTTTGTTTCGTAAAAAAAAAGTATCTTGTTGAATTTTAGTTTTTTAGAGGAAAGAAGGAAAAAATATTATATATTTATTTCTAACTGAGCCAGCCAGCCATGTGAACAAAACTTAATTTTGCTTCTTTTTTAGTTGAAGTAGAAATATATTCTGCATTTTGGTGAATAAAAAGGGTTTACACTTCAGTTTCGCCTTAGAATGTCTGTTTTGTATTTGTTTACGGAAATTAAAATCTTAATTTTTTTTTGTTGCAAAACCCTATATGGGGAAAACATTCTCTGTACAAAAAAATAGCATCACATATGTACGTAATAATAAATAAATATCAGCCTATAGGAAGCAAACCTGTTGCCAAGACTTTCTTAAATATTCAGATAGATTGTGATCATATTATCTCGGGTATTCGTTGAAATTAGTTGAATTTCTGTTACAAAGATTACTTCTACTTCAGTGCATGTTTTATATAATTTCTAATATTTGCACTTTAAGCATGTATATTCTTGAACATATTCTTGAGAAAAACCTAACTGAAAGAAGATGAATCTAATTATGATCATGTCTACACAATTTTATTTTAAAATTCGTTATCATTTGCATTTTTTGAGCGCAAACATAATTGTTTTCTTTTCATATTTCAAAACTTTCACCATTTATACCCTTTAAAAATAACTGCATATCATTATACTGAAAAATGAAATTTAAGAATGTATAGAATTCTGGGAAATCTTAGTTCATTATATCGAAAACCAAATTATAAATATAAATATTTATAAAAGCTAATGTTTCTGCCTTAGGTAACTACACTGAAAGTAATACTGTAAGTTCAATAAAGCGCATCAAGAGCGTTGGCCCATCAGCGAACGAACAATAAAGTCTCTGAACACTGATAATTCGGCTGAGAATTCGAGTTTCGCTGAACGAGCTGTTAGGCATTTCTTTTTTTTTTTCCCCACTTGCAACATGTATATGAGACAGTATCCCTCAGAAATTCTTCCACAAAGACATCCCTACCCTTAGGCAGGTAACCTTCAAGTGCTTTGCCATAGTCAAATTAAATAAAATTTAAAAAAATAAGTAAGCATTATGAGCATTAGACTAATGTCTCTGTTTAATTCTTTCTATATATATAGAAAGAGAAAGAATTAAAGTTATAGAGATTAATAAAACCACAAGAATCAATCTGTCAAAATCCGATGCCTTTTTTCATTAATGCTCCTATAATTTTTCAATGCAGGAACTTCTGAGAGCACCTGTTTATGTGCTCTTAGCCCCCCAAAAGAAAATAAGTAGCGAAATAGTAAAATATACTGATATTTTCTTAGAGTTTAAAGAAAACAATATTATTATGGCACAATTAATAAACTCGCGGCTTTCCTTACTCATGGCTATACACAAAAGCGGAAAATTGCAAGACAAAAACTTAAATAATTCTTGAAGAATGCAAAAAAAATCAGATGTTTTTTGCCATGAAAACCGATATAAACATTACAGAGTCGAATTTAACCAAATTAAAATAATATACGTCAATTTATAACACAAAATTACAAAATATTTGAGAAAAAAAAAACTTTCTGAATTTTCACTCACGACCACGCGCGTTGTAACTTTTACGATGGAGCTGCCACGTAGCGCAAAAGCCCAGTAAAAAACAAAAAAAGTCATATGACTTCCTGTTGCCACATTCCATGATGTGGGGAAGGGTTAAAAAGAGGAACAGAAATGACATTCATACGTCTCAGCTGCAATGTGCGAGAAGTGTGCATTAAAAACCGAATTAGATGTCTGTAATTATGGATTAGCAAATAAACAAGTCTTTTACTTACGTTTAGTTAATTAGTTCTGTTATTATATCAAGTAAATTGTGAAATATTATTTATATCCGTAGCTTCAAATAAACTCTGCATCAAAAATACCCGAAGTTGCAAATAAAATAAGAAATTTTCCAAGTTAACAAAAGTAAACTATCTTGGGAACTATCGAAAATCATATTGTTTTAGTGAGAAAGTATTCCTTTTATCCTAGCAAGCAATCGTATATGAGAAATAAATTCAATAACTAAAGTGAAGGGTATTAGAAACACAAAAATATTTCGATATTATTGCCGTATGCACATTGATTTTCCATAAAATTTAAATATATATATATATATAAATACGCACACACACATGTATACATACATAAAAATGGAGGTTTATGAATGGAAAAAAAAATTAAAACATTTATATTTTTTTCTTTTAAAGTCTTGATTTTCAAGTTTCCTCAAAATTTTCATTTGATAACAAATCCATAGCATAAAGCGAACACCGTTACTGTTACAAGGTCCAGATCGCTTTCGAAGCATTCTACTTCTTGAAAACTCCCGAAGGGCAAAGTTCTGACAGTGATTGATACTTTTAGAGCCGACACTAATGAGTTCATCTGGATGATTCTCCGCAGGTGTAGGGGGATAAAGAAAACTGCTTAACGCTTTTGGTGGATACACTGACAGAAAGCTTTGATTACAAAACAATACCTTATCTCTTTCAAAACGCTCGGAGGGTTAATAACTATATTTTAAAATCCAGGCTAGTTTTAATGTTCATCTGTCCTGTCCTGTTGATTTCTCATCTAATCAAAGACAACTTGTCAGAAATAAAAATCTCTTGCAGCTCATCACAGTTCTTGTTATTTCAATTCCAGTGCCACCATTTGAAAACAATTCTTTTGCATTTCCATGGTGTCCTTTTTTTATTCCTATGATATATAACAATCTGAACTAGACAATCATTTCCACTCAGGTAACAGTTGACACTCAGGTAACAGTGAATAATAAATATAATTAACACTCAGGTAACAGTGAAGTCTCTATCTCTTGAGTATTTTGCCTTTTAGTAAAGTTATAAATTTATTTGTATTTATTTGTACATTCCAAAATTTTATCAAGCATATTTATATCAACTATTCTAAAAAATATTCCTATTCAATCCTTTATATCCTTAGCATGGTGTTTTAGGCCAGGTAATGCTCACAGTATTCATCTTATTCGTCTTTGAGCAGTTTGCATACTTTTGATTTTGCCACTTACAAGATTTATCCTTACTAACGTAGAATATATCATCATCTTTCCATTTTCTTATATCATTATTACTATCATCATCTGAAATATATTGTTCAGATTTCCTGCTGATATTATTAATCTCTATATTTTTCTCACTCAGATCACTATTATTCTCGCATCCAAAGGTTTCCTTGTCTTCTTTTTTTCATCAGATAATTCTTGAAGAATGCAAAAAAAATCAGATGTTTTTTGCCATGAAAACCGATATAAACATTACAGAGTCGAATTTAACCAAATTAAAATAATATACGTCAATTTATAACACAAAATTACAAAATATTTGAGAAAAAAAAAACTTTCTGAATTTTCACTCACGACCACGCGCGTTGTAACTTTTACGATGGAGCTGCCACGTAGCGCAAAAGCCCAGTAAAAAACAAAAAAAGTCATATGACTTCCTGTTGCCACATTCCATGATGTGGGGAAGGGTTAAAAAGAGGAACAGAAATGACATTCATACGTCTCAGCTGCAATGTGCGAGAAGTGCATTAAAAACCGAATTTGTCGCAAACTTTGTGCATAGCGCGTGCTGGAAGGTTAAAATGTGATTTAAAAATTAAATTTACATAATAATATTACATAATAATATTACATAATAAAATTACACTATAAAAGCACTGACACATACTAACTAGAATTCATCTCTCAAAACATAAGCAATTAAAAAAAAGCCCCTTTACATTATAGACTGGAGCAAATTATCAAAATTGGCTTATGAAGATGCTTTAATGATCCTATTATTCATGATAAATGACAAGATATATTTGTAATATTTTCAACTAGAATGAATGCTCCCTTAAAATGAATACCTCCACACAGAAAAACTGGTCTGATGCTAATTTTAAAGCATTGCACTAATAAATATAAGACAAAGTAGAAGAAAACAACTCCTAGCAATAAAGATATCACTAGAAAATTATTGAAATCAGGAACAAATGCTTGCTATTTTATAATAATTTCAAGGGAAAACACATGCAAAGATTGGTGGCAGTTTATGCTGAAATGTTAAATAATGTTTTGAAAAGAGAGAAAAATGGGTATTAAAAAGAGTATTTCTATAAAAATTATATGGACTTTTCTTCCCATATATTACAGGATTTCTTATATTATAACATTACACAAAATAATATTGTAATTTGCATACACTTATATGAATATATATATATATATATATATAATAAAACATAAAAATAATTTTTTAAATCGAATTTACTTTAAATTCCACATCCCCACAGATGGAAAAAGTGCAGATAGGACCTTCAATTTTTAAAACAGTTTCTCCTGCAGCATTTTGAATTCTAAATTGTGGAGTAAGAATACTCCACTCTTGTTCAACATAACCTATGACATTGCCTGGAGGGGCCATTACTTCCATTTTCTAGAAATGAAGCATATAACATAAGGTAAGATTATGCATGTATTTCAGGATTATAGATCCACAAAAGAGCATTATAATAATTTATTTGTAAAAATCAATAAAGCTTCATATAAATTCATAGTAAATTCTCTCCTATTGTAATTACACTCAACAAGCTTTGTACGTGAATGAAATAAATATTTTATGATGTTTAATACAGCAAATAATAAGAAGACATACAGCATAATTTCAATAACTTGTTCTTCTTTCAACCATGTAACTTTAAATATACTGTTAATGTATCTACATATTACTTACTAATGTCATTATTTTTTAGAATAAAAAAGATATTTCAATGTATAATCCCTAATTAATATTATATCAATTTAGATGAATATAAAAAGAAATGAAGTGCAGCTACAGTACACTAATGAGATGGTCATTTGTGAAAATTCAATTAAGCTTTTCTTCAACTTCTAAAACGAAATCACCTACCTCACATGCTCCATTTATTAGATCACATTTATAATTATTTAAATCATAAAAATCTGTCATTCTCAGAGTAGGAATACTTCCCCCCCCCAAAAAAAAACCCACAGACATCTATTACTTTAAATATGCACAAGCAGATGAAATCAATGACATGTACATTACCATGTATTTTGCATAATCTCATCTATACAAGCTTTTAGGACATTTATACATGAAATGACTGTTAAATTATGGTAACAAATGAGAGGCAAGAAATTCAATGTCAGTAGGATATAGACAGTTGAGAGATTAACAAAGATAATGCTATCGATATTCGACTAAGATTCAACTAACTAGAAAGCTCCAGGAACAGGAATATTCTAAAATTTTAGAAATTATCCCCCCCCCCATTTTGAAAAATTTAGTAATGAGATATTTTTAATGCCATTATGGAGCTTGTCAAACTGTGTGATTTTAGTGACAATAAGGGATAAGCTTGATATCACAAACAATCATAAGAAGTTCATTTCGGTATAATGTAAATTAATTAATTCTTGATAGGCTGGTTTAATTTTTGTAAAGAAAAAAATAAATTCAATTTTTGCTCACATTTTGAAAAAATAATTAATACTTGGAACAGCATGAAGTAGTGAATTTTTAAAATTGCAAAATCTGGGTGTTAAAAAAGCCATGATACCTGCTTTTGGATACAAATAAACTATGGTGATATAATGTAAAAAACTGACAAAGGATTTAATTTTTTTTATGCGCTGTTTTCATAATTTGTATGTCTTTTCATCTAACTAAATAAAGAACGACCTGTTTGTCTAAACTTCTGCCAGACTGAAAAAAGACAAATTAAAAAGGGGAGAGAAGCAGTTTTGAATGATGCTGCAATAAAGAAAACTGAAAAAATATCAAATGTGGTTCATTTGAGCAACTGATGCAACATGCCTAAAGTATGTATGTATATGCCCTGTGTGTATAAAGTATTACCTAAAGTATGTGTGTATATACCCTGTGATCTTTTTCTTTTTAATTGTTATTAATTACACAGCCAGAGACACATGAAAGAAAAAAAGTAAAAATATAATGCTAGAAGCATGGAGATATCATGCTTTTAAAAATAAAATACAGAAAATTCATCAGACTAATATGAAAAAATGACCCTGGGAGAAATTTTACATCATAATAGAAAATTTATTATTATTTAACTAATATATATATATATATATATATATAAACAGACCTGCAGACAGCAAAAGCAGAGGCAACTGGAACATCGTAGTGGTCTATATAGATGAATAACTTCATTGCCACTCATGTCCTTTAATTTCATATCAAAAGGACGAGCTGATCCCAAACAATTTCGAGTGCAGCAATCAGTATCTAGAATAACAGATTGCATAATTTTATTTCACATAAAAAATGAATAAAAGTTTATGCAATCAAACTTCAGTGGATGGTCATTTGGATAATAGGTCACCCTGCTTCATAAATCAGAATTTTTTAGTCTTGATTAATTTCTATTTCACTTTTAAGTAATGAAAATTGATTTAAGTTACTTTTGAGATGCTGACTTTAATTCTCAGGCCACAATCAAACTTTCAGTGTGAACAAAATTACTCGTTTCCAAAGGAAAACAGGTTCATATTTCAATCAAAAGTTTTTCTTTTTATTGACTGCAACTAGACTCCTAATTTCCATTTAGTAATCAATCAAATCAGATGGCATTTGCCAATCACAATAAACAAACAGGAGCTAATCATTTTCTTAGGGAGAGAAAACATAATTTTGTTTTCCTGTGAATTTTTCATTCAACATCTATAAAATTATTAAAAACTTCCTCCAGAACCAAAGTAGCATCATACTGCATAACAATACCATAACTCCTAGATGTATACATGGATGTCCCAGGTTTTTGGAACATCCCGTTCAATAATATTATAAACCAGGAATGGTCCAACCTTGGTAAAATTACAGCATTTGCAGATGATGTTGCCTTCGTGGTCAGCAGACAAACACAAAAAGTTCTTCAGCAATACTGCCAAGAAATAGTTAATATATTACAGCATCACTGCAAGAGACATAAACTAGAAATCTCCATCCCTAAGTCATAATTAATAATCATTCATAAGCTGAGACAGAAAATTACGAAATAACTCTGAATAAAAACAGAGACAAGTAAAATTAAAAACATCAAATCATTAAAATACCTATGGTTACTGCTCAACCTAAAATTCAAACTTCATAAAGCATCTCCAGGATATAAAGATTCATACCCACCAAATTGAATAGAACCTTTACAGGATGCAAGTATTTAACTGGGGATTGAATCCCCACATCACCAAGATCTTATATAAAACTGTCATCACAATGATCTTCACATATGAAGCTGCAACATGGGCCCTGCCGACAACGAACGAAAAATAACATTGCTAAGAGCCATTCAGCAACGGTTGATACTAAATATCTCACGTGGCTTTCAAACCATCTCCAGTTCTGCCCTGAATATCTTGGAAGGCATTATGCCCCTACATCTTCAAGCAATCAACGAGGCTATTTACTTTTCAATCCTTCATCTCAGAAAAAAGCATCAGGTTCAAGGATTGCATCTATTCTGCAGATGATTACAAATAATGCCTTCCTCCATATAAAAGACATCCAGCAGATCCTCATACCAAAATAAAATCCAAAAGAACATCAATCTAAGGAACAAAGGAACTGAAACCTACACTGATGAATCAAAACTAGGAGGGAAAGTTGGAGGTGCAGCATTCTTTCCAATCCAACAACATCTGGACTCTGAAATAAAATAGAAAGGGTACTGTATACCTTCGAACACTTTTTTTTAATTTTTAAGTTTGTGCATTTAATTTTCATCATTAAGTAATTAATGATGAAAAAAATGAAGAAGCTGAGTTATTTAATGACCATCAATTTTGTATTTTTGGAGTTAAGTAAGAAAACAAGCAAAAAAACAGCAATATTTACAATAAGTTAGAAACACTGTGCTAAAAAAAGTATAATATATTTTCATATTTTGTAAAATGCAGACCCATCATAATGATATTCTCAATGAGGTAGACTATTAATTTAAAGCTAGGAAGTTATTAAAAATTTTTTTAAGCTAGAATGTGTAATGTAACAAAGAAAAAGCATATTTTCTCATTAAAATTCATGTTTAACACATAATAACTTTAAAAAAATGCATTTATCAATCAGTAAATAGTCTGTCTCCTTATATGAATTGTTCTAAACATGTATACCAGTTTGCATACAATTTCAATCATAATTTTTAGAGATATTGTGCTTCATGTTAGCATTAAAACACAACAAGTGAAAAACAAGATAAAACGCATTTAAAGAATTCAAACACACAATTACCTACTTTTGATCAGTTTGTACACTTAAAATTCAACTGATTTATAACTAATACCCTCTTGTTTTTCAGAATTTACATTTTTTTTTCTTTCTTGCAGCTTTAAAAATTTTTCTCTGTTTTTTAAAGCCAAATCGGGGAATGTCGTTTTGCATTGTCGATACGGTAACATCAAACCTTTCATACTCGTTTGCAGTGTAGTAACCAATATCTATACCTAATTTATCCTATCTATACCAATATCTATCTATATCTATAAAAATTAATGAATATTACTCAGTAATAAATAAAGCACTTATCAGCAATGTAAACACAAGCAAAAATGCATTAGTGAATTCATAACACACAGCTTGAAAATATGCTAGAACTTTGTTTTGTTGCCATCATAAAAATACTTTTTGGTCTTTAAAATGCAATTAGATAAAATTTTAAGCCCCGAAAATAAAAGTAAACAACTCTGACACACCCACTTTGGCCTTTTAAATATTTACGTGTTATGCACTTCCAATATGCTTTTCGAGGACAAGGTGTCAAAGTATCATAACTCCGATTTAAATGAACGTAGGAACAAAATTCAAACAGTTCTGGAAACATAACAAATAAGACTTTCATCGAGCATAAGGGAGGAAAAAGGGGGGTTACCAAAATCTTGGTTTCTAAGGTATACAGGCAAGCAACTCCAATAACATACATCAAATGAAACTCAAGGCAATAAAAGCTGCCATCAACATTGTGTGAATAAATAATTTCTCTAAAATATCCATTAACTCAGACAGCCATGCAGCCATATTCTCCATCCAAAATCCAGACACCAGGCCCATGAAATTAATCAAATCTCAAAAGATCTCAATTTTCAAATAACCATAATTGGATCAAAGAGTGCAGCAGTAACACTGGCAACAACACAACCAACAGTCTAGCAAAAGCAGCAGTGCTTTCTCAAGAAGGTGAGTTTCTCAACATCAAGCTTTCGAAATCGCAACTAAGACAAATCCTAAATAAACGTCTAAGCCACGCATGGTAAGAAGAGTGGAATAATGCCACAACAGGCTGACACATTCAGCAGTTCTTTGCAAAAATAGGCATAGATATCAGAAGCTCCAAGTCCTTCCTAACTTATCATTTCATTGGTCATGGCCCATATCCAGATTATTTTCTTAACCTCTTTAATAGCAACAATCGAGTCTGTCGAGTCAAAGGAGATGTAGACCATTACCTATTCTTCTCCCCTCTTACAAGTCATCAACACATTCAGAAACCCACCAATCTAGATCTTAACATCAAAATACTAGTAATATCACAATACCATGTGTATCCAAAAATCATGAAAACACACTAAAAGTTCAATGTTCTATACCTGTGCTAAGTCCCACATTAGACCGAAAACGAAAAAGTGAAAAGAGCAATGACTAGGCTTGCATGCCAATATTGATTCTGAGCAACATCAACAACTTCCATGATTTTCAAAACACCAAGCATGTTGAGACCATGAACTTTACTTATGAACTCTGGACTGAAAGATCTAAGCTCAATACAGTCTTACCTGTAATAAATATCCTCACATAACAAAAATCAGACTCCCGTATTTATATAGTTAGAGCATTATCTGTAGAGGTTGCCAAGGTATTTCATGCTACATATTGCCAGAAAAGACGAGTATCATCAGTGCTGTAAATATGCTCTGGAGATAATCTTTCACTAGTAATGAGTTCAAGGAATTCATCTGCACATAGTTTAAAAGCTTCAGTATCAGCTAAAGCATCTTCACCTCAAATTTTTAATTGCCTTATATTATGGCAATTTTTAAATTTGGTTAACTGACCTGTCGAATATGTGCACACAGTTTTTAAGTTCATTTCTTCATGAACTATTTTGGCTTGAGCCATTAGCACTGGACCCATCAATGGCAACGCTCTGGCTGCGACACTGTCTGACCCATTCAATAATCAATTTTGTCATGATCATCACTTTTAGCATAACGAACAATTTTTTTGTTATTCATTGTGAGTGGGGTGTCAAAATTCACAAAAAAATTCAAAAAGTTCCTTTTTCTGTTTTTGTCATATACAGTTGATTTTCCAAAGCCATACTCCTCACATAATTTTGAGACGGATATACCTATAAACCATTTTTTTTAGCAATTCTACTTTTTGTTTAATGGATATCGAAAGATGCTTTCACTGTAGATCCTGTTGCAGCTCCAGAATTAGGAGCTATTTTTGATGTAATTGAAAGTTCAAGCTTTAATTCTCATAAAATTGCTGTAATAATAACAGTCTGCAAAAAATAATAAGCTCGATCAAATTAGAAGATTAAGGAACAGCACAGTCTGCTACATTAACTGAAATTCCTTAGAATCAGTAAAGGTAATTTTAACCTAGCACACACTATACATTATTGACTATGTATCCAAGATTGGCGATGAAAAACAAGTTGTTCCACTAAATTTTGTCTTGCTTCTATCACGTACTGAATTAAGCCTGAATTGTATTAGTTTAGTTATTTATTATACCTATGTCCATTTCTTGCACATGCTTAAACCTAATCCGAGTCCTAAATAAATAAACTCCCATATACACTTAAGGCTTATCTAGGGATGGCACTAGATACTGCCTGATGCAGTCTCTGCTGCTCCGAAATTCTGCTAAAAAGCGCCTCCCTAAGTTCTAAATTTTTGCTGCTCCTAAACTTTGGATCCTAGTGCCTTCCCTAAATTATAAAAATTTTATCATCCCTTAATTTTGCTGCCCAGTGTGGCCATACAAGCTCTAATGTCGGTTCTGGGTTTATGTGAATAATATATCAGTTATTCTTAATTTAAATAGCACTAAATGTAATCTTTTGGCCTAGGTGGCCATACTCTTGTTATTCAATTACTACTAAAAAAAATGTTTAGACACTGCTGCATGAATCATTATGCAAGTTGTCATGTATTGATAAACATGAGGTTATGAAAACAAAATATAATAAATAATGATTCCCCAGGTCTACATCAGGGATATGAAATATTAGTATAGCTCGACCGCCTCATCCGCGACCATGAGCGCAAACATACATGTGCCAGTCGGACCGAATTATTCTCAAAATAGGGTGGATAGATGGAGACTTTCTTTCCCTGCAGCATAGCTCTTTCCAGGAAGAGAAGACCTTCCATGTCGCAGCAAGTAATACCGCCCCTTTTGGACAAGTCTATGTGTTTTGGCAGAATGCCAACCAGGGTTGCGCTTGAGATGGTCGAGCTATAGGTATAAAATCGATGATGTTCCTAGAACTGACATATTTTATTTAATGTCTAAGTGAAATTAAGAATCGGGAGTCTCCACATGTTTTATCATGGAAGGAAAAATCAAATGTGTATGCTGCCCCTAAACTTTGGTATATAAAAAAAAAAAAGGTTTGTGGCCTTGAGGTTCGGATTTTAGTTCATTCCGGATATTGGGCATCTGGATCTCGGACTTTGTACTGTATAACATTCCAGAAGATGAACTAAAATTAAGATGTGAAATTCTGTAGCAAAATCTATATCAGTTTAAAAAGAGATTAAATGTGTAAATTGATTTACTGCCGAAAAGAACCAGCAATTTCACCTCAACTAAAGAGATCAGGATATCATCCAATCAATAAAGAATGAAAAAGCAATGGACCAGAACAATCTAGCACCAGTGATTTGAATTTTCCAAATTCAGTTTACACGCAATATTGTCTTTACATTATTGGAATAAGTAATATTGAATTAAAAGAATTTATATAACACTATATATAAAATATGTGTATTTTGTTTGTTTTTCTTTTTTCCTAAAAGCATAATTTTCCTCTTCAAACTGATCTTTTACATAGATTAATATTAAAAATGTTACATGTTTTGCAATCTACTTTTAGTCTTTAAATTTCAGTTTTGAAATTTCAACATAGCAAAATTTCAAGCAATGCTAATTTTTACAGCCCCATGAAGTTAATTATAATGGTTTTTAATTGTATCATAAAATGATACAACTTTATTATCTTTATTTCATCCTTGTTAAAGATTATGAACAGAGTGAGAGAAAAAATATATATGCAACAAAGATTGTGTTAGAATTTTTTATAACCTGTGAAATAGTAAAATGACCAAGAAAGATACACCCTTTGGTGGTATAAAAGTTTTTAATCATTTTCTCATGTTGCATACATAAGTGAATACTGTTATATCTTCACATACCACACTTTGCAACATTTATATTGTTTTCAATCTATTACACTAGATAGCAATTCAATGAAACAGTTTTGTGAATTTGCATTAGATTATTACTTTGAGCTTATATGTACACCTTGCATGAAAAAAGAGGGACAATTCTATATCTCCTATTCTACTGGAATGATTGTCGAAATTTAATTTCCCATGTCTCGAAAGCACGGCTTCGGATATTTATTAGATTTATATATACCAATTTGTTTTCCATATTTTGATTTTACGACTCAAATTATGCCTGGATATTACATTTTGTAATTTTTGGTGGGAAATTTAAAAATTTATCTTGGTGCATTTTTTTTCAGTTTGTGTCAAAAATAATTCACTTGGCAAACTTCGTAATTCATAGCAACCTACTTTCCTTTCCTTTTTTCATTGTACACGAGCAGAAAAAAAAGTCATTGTTCATACTTTCAAATAATTTTAACAAAGAGCATAAACCACATTTGGCGTTATTATCACCTATAATGAATATGCCAAACTTAAAAACGCGCCAATTGTAAATTCATATAGATCTTAGGAATTTTTGGATAAAAAAACTCTTAATTTTTTGCAGGTATGCTTAAAAATACAGCTACTTTAAGATGATGAAGAAAAAAAGGTTATAATTCAATTTTTTTTTCAGAAACTTACAAGAATTATTTAAAAATACAAATTTTAGAAACAAATCTTAAGAAATGGGTGAATTTTATTTGGACTGAACCTAAATTTCAAAATGTTAAAGTAAGAATCAAATAAGTTTAATAAAAAAAAAAGATATTTTTAAAATATACCAAATTCAATTAACATGGACGAGCTAAAATTTTGAGAGCCAATTTTTTATCACAACTTAAATTTCAACAATTGGTTCAATAGAACAAGAAATATGGAATTGTCCCCCCCCCAATTTTTTTTGTGAAAGGTCTGAATACAGTAGCACTATTTAACTATAGCAGTAGCACTATTTAACTGAGAAGGAAATTTTTTTGCACATTTAAAATACTTATTTTCTCTTGTAAATCTTCACATAAAAGATACATAGTAATAATTTGTTTTCTAGCAATAATTTCATCCACTGTTGCATAGTTTTGAGTTTTATGAAAACGCACTGTATTCTATCTGAAACTTAATGTATTACAAGGCAGCCACTATAACAATAAATAATAAATCATCTTGTATCTTGAATCACTAAAATATCTTGAACCTTGGAGTTTTGTGATTTAAGGCATGTAACAAAGGAATATAAATCTGGTAAAGCCCCTTATTCTATTCTTGTACTTAAAGAAAATTCTGCACATTTGTATTCCTGAAACATCAAAGGCTTCATGAATTCTGAAGCACTCACTCCTTAGCTATCTAGTAAACACAATTACTCCTTCAACATGGAACAAAATTTTCGAAAAGGACAATCAATACAATATCATCAATGAGTAAAACATTTTAATGATAATCAACAGCTTTCAGTACTAAAATTATATATGCCAGGTAAGTGAAATAAAACTACAGCAAAATTTCTACTGCTAACACAGCAGATTTTCTACATATCACTTTTTTTTGTCTTTTCATTCAGTATTTGGCTGTTTTCAGGATTATTTGCATCACATCACACACATAAGTCAATATACTGCAGGGGTTTTCACAAAAGACTAACTCAATAAAGGGTATTTCAAAGCCACATTTTACTGTATTGACATTTTTAATTGAATTAAAGCAATTGCAATTACCTAAAATATAATGTATACAATTAAAATAATACATGTAAATGAAAAATACAATAGATAAATAGTTTTAAGTGTTACATGATAATAACTTCAGTTCAAACTTTTTACTGTAATTAAGAATTGTTTGGACAATAAAAAACACTTTTTAGTTAAAAAGATAAAAGTTTACACAAACTTATTATTATTTAATTTGTTATATTTATTATATTGTCTTGCTTATTAAGATTAATTATACAATGCAATACAATCAATTTCAGCAAAAATAATTAGTTTGGGAAAGTTTTTTAACATAATAATTTTCAAAAAAAAAAAAAAATCATCAGAAAATACCAAAACGAAAAAGAAAAAAAAATACCTTCTTTAGCTGTATATACCTTTTGACCCATGCTGTTCTTTATGGTGTACTTGTTTTTTGTTTCAAAACTTAACAATGCTAAAAAATAAAAGCAAAAATCCAGTTAAATATGGATAATAACATATTTATACAGATCTAAAACACACGAAAGAAATTAAATTCATACAATTAACACTTCATAAAAATAAAAATGCAAAATATTTAGCTATAACTGTATAAATCTCTGTTTAATGTATTTTAAATATTATTTAAAAAAGTGCACATACTATAGGATGGGTTTCTTCCATGACAGTGGAAGAAATTGAGGGGGAGAAGAAGAAAGGGAAGAAATAAATTATGATGCATTAATCAAGCTGCAAAATGATAAGATTTATTAAAAGCATTTTTATTTATTCAAAAATAAATATTTTTAAGTACAGTAATTAAAACATTTTCTCCGAAAAATCTAATGAAAAAGGTGGTAGAGTTCTTATTGATTTACTAAAGTATGAAGGGGAAAGATAAAGTTCTGAGCAACAAATAACACCAAGGAACTGAACAATAACTCAAAACACCAATTTATAACATTCTTTGGTATTCTTTGAAATCAAGAGAGTATGATACTGTTTGTAATACATCAAATCCTGTTGTATGGTGGAAAATAATGCATACAATTTCTAAAATACTAAATGAACTATGTAATGTAGTTGAGATGCTTTTAAACTGTCCTTCAAGCTCAGCAGGATTAAAGTGAATGTTTTATTTTTCTAGTTTATTCACTCAAAATTATAAAACAGGTAACTGCACACAATAGAGGGGAAAGCAGTGCACTATATTACAATTCATTTCAGTATGTTAAAGATAAAGTATAATCAATTTTGCTTTTTATTTTTTTCTGAATAACTGTTAAATTTCTATTTTATTACTGTTGTGAACTGAAATTCAGTTTCAAAATTCATCCAAAAATTATAATATCTTGTAGTTTTAAAGCTTTACTGCTCTTTTAACAATAAACAAATAAAAATAGATAAATTTATTAAATGATAAAAAATGAAAAGGATTTTTTCAGTAACACTACAAAAGAGTCATACATTCAAAAATGCTAAAACCACTGCTTGAAAATTGCATAACGTTAAATGTTTATGGTTTTCAAACTAATTACTCATTTATTTAGCCCCCTCCCCCATAAAATATAATCAGGGTGCCTTGGTACATTAGAAAATTTAACAAAATTACCTTCATTTATGGGTATGTTACAGTCACAGAATAGTAAGACAAATCCATTTACTCAAGATTCAGATATTTCACTTATTAAATATAATTTTGTCCAACACTAAAAATAATTTCTTTTTCCAGGCAGAAAAAGAAGAAACAGTTGTTCATTTTAAAAGAACCTACACGCTCATATAAATCTTGTTAAATGTAAAAATTACATCAATAGCAGTTTTGATGACAATCTTTTAATAAATCCATATTTTTCTCTAAAATAAATACGTATTTTAAAATTCCCCTACTTTCTTACATAATTCACTTAAAAAATGTTTAATGCAATGATGAAAAATCATTCTTAATATAGAATTCTTGAAAAATAAGTGCAATTGAAGAAGATTTAATTCCTTCAGTTATTTCAAAGTATGTGTTAGAGTTTTAAAATATTTTGACATATCTGAACTTCTGAAGAACGGAACCATTAAATATGCCCTTGATAAAAACGGTATATATAATGCTTTACTTTTTCATATACACTATCTACTTTAAGCACACAACTTTTGTAGCGAATTTCAGTCAGACTGTTAATAAGTTTCAGAAAATTATGTTCCTTTGTGTTCATCTTTTCTAGCAATTTCTCTTTATCTGAATTTGTAATTATATTACAAATTTTTAACATGAATTAAATTATGATTTTAAAAAATCTGCTGTTGAACATTAGAAATGTCCTATCACTTCTACTAATGAACATGTCATAAATTAAAATGAAGGAAATGAAAATTTTCACAGATAAAAAATTTAAATTAGTGTACTTTACATTAGAAATATACAAAAGGTATAGTAGACAGATTTCATTTATTTAGGGTTCATACACATTTCTGCACATGGTAATAAAGTACTTTTAAGGACCATCAATTAAAAAAAATTAAGGATCTACCAACAGATAGAAACTGAATGAACTACAGCAATTAGCTACAACCGAACTTTACTTTTGTGATCTGTACGAATAAAATAAATCTACAAGCAGAATGTATTATTATTAAACATAATCTAATACTTAATTACAAAACAAATTCAATAATAAAATCAACTTCCATTTTTCAAGTAATTAGCATTAAATTTATAAAATGTCTTGGAACATTTATAGTTTACATTTAAAAATTTAAAAATTAAAAAAAAAATATTTTAAAGACTTTTTATTTAAATTTTACTAACATATAGCTTCTGGTCTTTCCTTTTAAGCCCCATTCCTTATGTTCTTGCACAGTCCAAAGGTTTATGCAGATTTTATGTCTGGCATAAGTTAAATTGAGAAGCAAAATATAATCAGCATGACTCATAACAGAAGTTTGGCTATTGCCTCAATGGCTGCTTGCTTAGAGACAGAAAGCCACTGATTAGAACAGACATGGATGCCTGACTTTGATACTGTTGTTAAGTATTGAAAGTTGGCTGCTCTTTGTCTGACCAAGTTAGTGTCATGCAGATTTGCTGGAGTTGTAACTCAGTTAATATACAGCATACAATATTAAGTTCCAATAACCCACTGAAAAACCAGAGGCGATATTGGTTATTTTGTATTAAATCTCATTAGCTGCAAGGAATAAAGTTTTATATTAATTTTTATATTTTTGCGTTTTATTGTTACGAAATACTCAGCCACCCCGCAAATCAGGTTTAGGGTTGCCAGAAAATGGCAAGGAAAGACAGGGTTACCAGATTTGGCACAAAATCACCCATTTGGTAACAAAATTGGTGATATGACATAGACGGAGCGAGAACATTCTGGAACGAATTCTTACCAGTTTGCCATAGAATGTTCTCGAAAGCAGATCAAAAGATATATTAATCCAGGTTGTATGCGGAGTAACAGTGTATCTTGAGTTTTACCGAGAAGAGCATCTTCAGTGTGTTAGCTCCAAGAGTGATCGATCAAATTGGAAGCTGTATTTAGTGTTTTGCCATCGCCGTTATAGCCTGAAGACTATGTTGCTGATTGCTTGTGTTTCTCGTAATTTTTCAATGACTGTAATGCATTTTTGGAACTGTCTTTTGTAATACCAAAGAATAAATTGTGTTTTGATTCTTTATCAGGTGTTGTCATCAATCCCTCCGAATCCACAGCGTCGTAGAACACAACAATATCTTACATCTACAACAAGGATTAAGGAAAGCTTAACATGTAGAGATAACTTTCAAGGATGAGCAGTTAATTACATATAATTAAATTGTGTAGTTAGATATCCTTAGTCATAATAGATTTACATGGTTACAGTTACAATTATTATTATTATTTTTTTAAATTTCTAAAAAATATCTAAAGCACTAAGAATATTTTACAGCAGTTATAATTGATAATATTGGTTCTAAAATGATAGCATGAAATATTAGATTATTAGCATAATTATACATTAACAGCTATTGCTTTGTAACTATAACAAACAAAATATTTACGCATCTTTTTAATTTGAAAATCTTCCAGCCATTTTAGCTAATTTACACCAATTTCCTTCTCTTTAGCATCTTTTAAGTTTATTTGTTTCAATAAACAAATCAATGTTCCAACCAGTCTCTGCTTTATCTCCTAACTTGTTAATGTTTCAACAATGTGCCTCTGAAGAATAATTTTCTCTCTTTAATAAAATCAATTTCTTCTTCAGCGAGTTTCCTCTTATTTTAGAATTTTTAGATTTAATTACAGAATTCCATTATTCTAAAGAATTGCTTGTACTTAGAATGTATAAAATAAACTGCTAATTATGTTTCTTCAATAATATAAGCATTGAAAATAAATATGAAAAGACATACATTCAGGACCAGCTCCAGCCAGTATGGCAGAATTTTTAGAATTTAGTAAACCACTGAGCAACAAAATTTTTAAAGCAGACACTGAGATATATTAAATAAATCTTTGAATAAACTGTCAGTTTTCAATTTCTTTGCTTTCTTTATTTTCTTCAATGCTTCTGTTTAGAGAAAAGATGAGAAAGTACAGGGAAGATAAACACATTAAGAGAAAGACTTTAAAAGAAGGGAATCAAAAGGAAAAAATTCAAATAATTTTGTTTTCCTTGTTCTTCTAAAAAATTCTACAAAAGACAGGAAATTCATCAAAAATTTTCTGTAAAATACACCCATTACGTGTTAATTAAGACATTTTTCATGTTGTCACATTTTTGGGGGAATTGTAGGTCCATAAATATTGCCTTTAAATCCCTCTAAACCTTCCGAGGTTCAAGGTATAAAATCCCTACCATCATTGTAAGAGCAAAAAGCCAATAGATTTTTTTGGAGGGTGGGGTGGATTAGAAAAGAAAAAAGTAAACTAAATTCTCTGATACACACTTAAATATTCTGATACAATTACACAGGAAAAGCTTTTATCATGAAAAAAATATAAAAGAAGACAAATGAAATTAATTTAAAAATAACAGTAGTAGCTTTATTGTTTTTTTCTATAAAGTGTTTCAGAAACTATACATTTACAGCACTTATTATTTTGCTTACTTCTCAGAATCAAAATATTCCGAAATCACAAAAATGGAAAGTAATGTCACTGTAAGTGAAGGAGAAAATAAAAATGTGTTATTTTAATGCTATTTCCTAAATATAATTTATTATTATTATTATTATGATATTTATCAAAGTAATTAAGTACGTAAAAAAAATCTAAAAATTTGCAAATCTCCAAATAAAAAATTTTGTATACAAACTGATCTTGAAATTGCCAAAATGCCACCAAGTTACCAAATTTAAAGCCGCATTATAAAAGAACTCATATTTCAAGAAAGGAAAAGTGTTTATATATATATATGAACTCTTCATTCACAAAAAGAAATAATTTTGAAATTTATGTTTCAATCGAGATGGTGCCTCATGCCTAAAGCTCGAGTATCCTCCATTTATATCAAGAAGTAATAATGAATTCAAACATTCAACTATAAATACATATTTGTAAATGCATCACCAAAAAATATTCCTCCAAAATATTAATTCACACTCAAAATAGCAGTCAAAAAAAAAAAAAAAAAAAATGTCAGAAGAGTAAAATCAAGGGTTCTTTTGCCAATTTTTGCTGAAATTAAGGACTTTCAAGGACCAAAATCATTTCCAAAATATCTAAGGACTTTTAAGTATGTTTAAGGACCGTATAAACCCTGTTACTATAATTCATAAACAAGTACTGCTTTGTATAAATGTTTTGTTGATTTAATGTTTAGACACTCAAGACTTTTTCTTCAGAAAAGACTGTAAATGCTTTATATGGAATTTTGTCCTTAATTCTGTTTAGCAATAGCAAAAACAGTATTTAACAACTCATTACATCCCATGTTCTTAGTCATCATAAAATCATTTTGTGTCAGGCTTTCATATGACTGCATTTAAAGTTTCTATTAGTTTTTGACAAATTGTAGAATATTACTAAAACTACAATCTTTGCCCAGCTATATTTTGATGTATTTATTACTCTATGAAAAGAAAGAAACACACACATTCTATGAAGAAAATATACAGAATTATTGTCAAGAAGAGGAAATGCACCTTCCAGAAGCTCCACTTTTTGATGAACCAAAAGCTGATCTATCATAGTTAAGTATTCTAATCCAGGGGGGCAAACAGGAATTCCTGTAGGCACAGGCATCCAGTTTCCTTCCACAGCTATAAGAGATAAAAATATATTCCTATGGCTTTTTTTGAAAACATAAAAGAATTGCATTATAATTTCTTTTACAAGATACTGACAAAAATTACTTGGCTAATCTTTGGAATATGGTAACAGGTAGTTTGGCAACACTTTGGTAAGGTGATAAAGGTTACTAGCTAGGACTTGAGCAGTGTACATGGATAAAGTCAAGAGTGTGCGCAATGCCCTTTTTGTGCAATTCTGGGATGTTTTTTAAGTGAAAATAGGTCGACGTGTACATGGATGATACCGTGTACGTGCAACTCTTAAAAACGCGGCTAGCAGTGGGCGATTCTGCACTTTCTCCCAATTTCGCACCTAATCTTCGTCATGATTAAGCACTTTTGTTCCATAAAAGTTCTAGCATAAGCGTAATTCGGCTAGCAGATTGTTAGAAAAAAATGTTGAGTAAAAAAAGTAAAACAAATAAAAAAAACATGCCTTTACTTCATGAAATCAAAATGGCATCCAAACAAAAACTAGCCGATTGCTGTAGCAGGGTTGGTCGCCAAATAATCGCCAAGTTACCATAATCCAAAGATTAACCAATTACTTCGTCAGTACATAAATGTCACAAAAATTGATAAATATTAATGTATAGAAATTTAAAAAATAATACATTAACTACACACAATAACAATATTGTTGCATGCATACAGGTTCGTAATAGATTGAATGCACGCAGGTCCGATGATAGGTTAATAAAATTTATTATCAAAGGACACTTCCAAATTCTGGAATTTTTCACAGAAATACTCATAGGGGTATTCACAGTATCACAGAATACAATCAGTAGTTATACTTCAAACTACTAATAACATTAAATACAATGCAATGCAAAGCACATCTAAAGAGAAAGCTAACCCGGAAATATCTCCAATCTCGTGCTGAGCTAACAACTCACAACAATAACAGCAACTAACTAAAGAGCAGATGCTCTCTCTTCGGTCTTATGCAGTTTCCAACCACTGTCCAAGACATTTCTAATACTTTCTGCCTCTCAAAATTACTGGAAAGCAATATGAGGGTTGAATTATGGTTACAGCTAACATAGTGGTAAATTATATTTATTCAATTACAGTATCTATTATGGTGATATAGGAACCAGACCAAAATTACGCCAAGTTTGGTGACTTTTGTTACTTTCTTGCCAAATTTGACGACAAAATTTTGTTGACAAAAACCATTGTCAGCTTGGCGAAATCACATCGCCTTGAAACATCTTTCTTTCTGACCAAGACGATGGGACATTGCAATTGCTGAAGGCTCGATGACGTTGCTTTCTTGCGTATCCTTTAGAAGTTTTCTTACATTTTCCTGTTTAGCAATTGGTAGACATCTTGGATGTTGCTTCATTAGTGGATGATCCCCGGTATCGATTATATGTTGTGTTAAACTGGTTCAACCAACGTCGCAAGATGAAGGGGGGGGAGTTCTTGAATGAGATGTTTGGCAGCCCTCCTCTCTTCATTGCTTAATTATGCATTCTGTAATAACTCCGAGGTAACGCTCTCTGAAGACCGGATTCTGGAGGGTTATTGTTTCATTTAACACTAGTCACCGGTGCTGCAACTACTTCACCTTTCCTTATGATTTTCACTTTATCACTAATGTTGACAACTCTCACCGGGATAATTATCTTTGGTAAGTTGATGAGGGTTGAGACTACTAGTACTCCTCACATGGTTTAGAGTCCTTGGAATATTCCTGTACACCACACAGGAAATTTCTGTTTTCGACTAGGAATCCAGGATGTAAAAATTGAAGGGCTTGCAGCAAGAAAGGCACAGATAAACCTTGGTAGATTTTGTGTTCATGGGTCTTTTTTGTTACAATTTTTCATTCTTTGCATTAGCATAGCCATAAAAAAATCATTTTTACTAGCACGTTTAATGAGAACAAACTTTTAGAACGCAGGTTAAAAAATAAATTTTTGAAAATGTTTTTTTAATTTTACGAAAATTTTAAAATGTAACAAGCATTCTATTTTATTCTTGCTGGTATTGTGAAATCGTCTTGAGCTATAATTTATGGACAAATTTAACTCCATCATTAATTACAAATAGGGTTATGTCCTCAGATGCAGAATGCAGTTCGTTATTTTTAAAGTACAAGGAAAAATTGCATTTTCTTAGAATGTCCAATCTGAGTATACAAGGATCTGTAGTACTGCCACATATGCCATGTGGTGGTAGGTAGCACTTGCAAACATGATGTTAACCCTTAATTTTCCATGAATGTCGATCTTATCTGGAGGGTACCATAGTTGTGGCATCCAAATGAGTTTATCTTTCAGTTGTTGAGCCAAATCTTTTTGAATGATGGTAACATTGACTCCTGTATCGATGGGCATATTGCAAGGAAATCGATTGAAATATCCCATTATGAAAAGTCCATTACTGCCATCACTCACTGCAGAAATCTGAAGCACTTTAAACTGGGGCTTTTCATTATCTAGCAAACTCTGCCCCATGAGAAGGCCACTAATTAGTTTCCTCCCTTTTGCTAAGCGTGGTCTTAACTTCTGTGCCCTCAGGTGTGCTGCAGTTCCCTCATATGTAACCTTCAAAACCACAGTCCAACATTTTACGGTTGGTTTCTTGTCACTCCTATTCCATCAAGTCCAACTTTATTTTCAACTGCGTCTATTCTGCCTTCCATAGCCTCAGATTTGTTTTCTATTATGCAGGTAATTTCTCTTGACCTGATTTCTTCATTTCTTCTTGACCTGATTCAGATCTTTACTTTAAGGCTTGCATCACCTCTTTAACAGAGTTGACTGCCCCTTAAATCTTTTCTTGGAATGCAACAAAGGCAGTCACGAGCTGTCTTAGTTGCTCCTCCATCACTCTTGTCACTGGGATCCAAACCTCACTCCTAATACCAAAAAGTGTTGCATGTTTAAAGATTCATAATTGATTGAATGCAGACACAGGATGATAGGTTGATAAAATTTATTTTTATAAAACGAAAGACTTCAAAATTCTGGAATTTCCCATAAAAATACTCGTACAGGTATTCACAGTATCACAGAATGCAATCAGTAGTTACACTTCAAACGACTAATAATAAACGACTAATGTTAAATATAACACAATGCGAAGCACATCTAAAGAGAAAGGTAACCTAGAAATATCTCCGATCTCATGCTGAACTAACAACTCACAGCAATAACACCTAACTAACTAATTAAGAGCAGATGCTCTCTCTCCGGCCTTATATGGTTTTCAACCAGTCGCCAAGATATTTCTAGTACTTTCTGCTTCTCGAAGTTATTGGAAAGCAACATGAGGGTCAAATTACGGTTACAACTAAAACAGTGGTCAATTACATTTATTTAATTACAATACCTATTACGGTGATACAGGGACAGGATCAAATGTCGCCAAGTTTGGCAACTTCTGCCGATTTTTCGCCAAGTTTGGCGAGCCAAGATACCTATTTACTCAATGTTAAATGCACTTGTCCCTGTATTCTTACTTTTCTGGCACAGCCTGTCTCTTTTACATTTATGTTACATTATTGAGCAAAATACAACAATTTTACAAATGAATGAACTAAAATCATGTATCTATGCGCAAAATTCGTAAAAATATGTATTCTGAGGATAATGGCTGCTGTTACATGAAATGTTAAAATTGTTAATGAACTAAAGGACATCATAAACTGTCCTAGAGATCTGACATATGCATAAATTAAAAGATTTGCCAAAAACTATTTTAGAATATTAGCAGCAAGTAATAGTAATACAGTCAAAAGTCTTTAATCTGGACGTCCATAATCCGGAATGATCTATAATCCGGACCTTAAAGCTACAAACTTTCTGTGCATGCGTAGATGCATAATGCATCTACGCATGCGCGTAATACCTTTACGCACGCGCGTTTAATGCATAACGGACTGTATAAGCCAAGCTAAAATTATCTATCTATTTCAGTTAATGTTGCAGATTGCGTTGTTCCTTAATCTTCGAATTGGATCCGGCTTATAATTTTTTGCAGACTGTTAGAGCAATTTTATAAAAGTAAGCTTGAACTTTCCATTATGTCCAAAGGAATTTCCGATTTGGAGCTGCCAAAGGATCTACAAAGCGAAAGCATGTTTCAATGTCCATCAAACAAAAAGTGAAATTGCTGCAAAAAATGGATAAAGGCATATCCTTTGTTTCTCTAACCATTCCGAAATCTGTTTATCAATTTCACGTTGCTCTGCGGAGGGGGGGGGGTGCATCGATTTATTTCACTTATTAGAATCGCCCACTTATTTGTTTGCCGCATTTTACAAGGGTAAGAACAATTGGATTTTTGTAAATTTTCTTTTTCTTTTTAAGTGAAAATAGGTCGATGTGTACATAGACACCAAGTACGTGCAATTCTTAAAAAACGCGTCAAGCAGTGGGGGATTCTGCACTTTACCCAAAATTCTTTTGCAGACTTTTCGTCATGGGCAAGTCCCAAATTGTTATCCATAGGATATCAAAAAAGGATTTAAAAATTAAACTAGTATTTCAATGGCGTCTTAAGAAATATAGAACTATATAAACTTATGCAATCTGAAATCAGTGCGTACACTAGATTTGGTGCGTTGTTAAATGGGTGCATTTGCTAGATTTGGCGGTTTTGCGCATACATTCTCGCTGCAATTTTTTTATGGTCCTCAAAATGGAATAGTACCAATAAAAGTATTAGTAAATTAAGTTAAAGAAATGATAATGATAGATTTACTTTTAATTCTATCAGTTCAATCTTACTGAAGTAATACAGATCATTTCTGTTTCCAGCTGAAAATATAGTTTCACGTAAGAAATGAAAAGAAGTGGAATTGATTTTCAGCCAGGTTTATCTGAACTTAAGCCCTGCCCATGCCTAAAGTGTAAAATGGCACTTTTCTGGGGGGGGGATTTGTATTTGCATCAATTTATGTTAGTTCTATGATGTCAAAGTTTCATTTTAGTTCTATGATGTCAAAGTTTCACATGATATTTAAATTCATCAATTATTATTATTATTATTATTAAAAAGTATTTGGAAAAAATTATACTTAACATTAGCTGCTAATATCGGCTCACATTCATGTTACATATTGAAAAAAAAAAAAAAAACATAAAAAACAACCTTGCCATCAGGTCAATTGCATGGGATTGTTTTGGGATCTAACTCCTAGCATTCAGTGATACTCAGCCATTGGTGGGGCCAGGAACTGTTAGAAAAAACAGTATATCCTTGCCTCTGTATGAAAACAAAATCTTCACACTTAACAGAATGAGGTGTCAGCCAGCTTTCTGGAGATAAAAATTGAACACAAGGAGTAGAAATGGTCATAAATCAAGCATTTTAATGTAAATCATCTTAAAACATTTATCTTTAACCAGATTAAGTGAATTATGAAAGCAGTTAATAAATATGGAGAAAAAGCATGTTAAACTAAAAAAAAAAAAAAAAAAAAAAAAGTGACCTCATTTTGCAACAGTCAAGGGCTATATACTTAGCCTATAAAGTTATTAATTTTTTCATCTGATTAACCCTTTCAGGACGGGCGTCCCATATACGCATTCCCTAAGAACGTCTCTTACAGCCGGGCGTCCCATCCACACATCGATAGAGACTACATTCAGAGGATGGGTGATACATATACTCATTTTAAGCTGGAACGTTTTTCTGAAGGCCACTAGATGGCATTCTATGCTCATTACTTTTGAAATGAACACAGTTTTAGGTTCCTGACCTTGAGTTTGATATATTCTGTCTGACTTTGGTATTTTACTCATCAACTGTTGCGAGGGGGGAAAGCGAAAGTGTAAACAGAGGTGGGCTCTTTAAATCGTTGCGTGCTATAATAAATATTCACGTGTCTGATTTATATCCAATTCCTTTTTTAATTCTATTTTTTCCTCTACTATATATGGTCTTTAGGGTTACTAGACAGCCCAGTCCGTTTTGCATTGACTTCAGATATATTCCCGTTTTTTTCTTTTTTTATTTCGGAAAGTCTCACCTCCAGTCTATTATGGCGCGAAGGCGCTATTTATCAGATAAAGAACCCTCGTATGGTTAATGAATAATTTAACTAACACAGATGAGAGCAATAATTCTTTTTCTAAGGATATAAAAAGTGATACTTTTCCTAAGAGTTAAAAAGTGATACTTCTCCGTGCTTCGAGATTTACCACACTCAGTCTTCATTTTAAATTTTGTTACTTCTTACTGTAAATAGTCTTCATTGTGTTGTTTTATTAATTTTAGACTGTATTGATGAATTTTATCAATTAAAACTTTGGAATAATTTGAATAGCGCTTCCAAAAATTATTTTACAAGACAAGGAAATTGGAAATTTTTAAGTATATTTTCATGTAAAATAAAGAAAAAAAAAAACATTATTAAGTGCTAATTTTAACATATATAAGAGCTCAAATAATAATCTAAAATGATACCAAAAATTACGAGGCTAGAAGTGAAACTTTTTTTTTTTCTGATTTTTTTATAAAATTAGGCTTAGCGATGCAAAAACTTCGTCCTGTACGGTGACTGCTTTCGATTCCCTTCCGTCCCGCACGAGCGTCTTAAACAAAGGTGCGCCGTCGCAAAAAGGTTAAAGAAGTAGATTTTGTCAAAGGCTGCAAATTATGTATTAATGGCTATATACTCTATCCAATGAATTTGCAATTGTGCCCCCCCCCAAAAAATGAGGTATGTTCCAGGTATCATTCTCAGATCATCCTAACAGTATGGTTCATAATAGATTATTCTTCTGACAGATTATATTTCCTACAGGAAATGCTATGATATGTACCTAATCTACAAATGTATTTAGGTATAGAATATGATACTTTGACTGTTGCTTGCTTATTTTTCTACTAAAAGATGGTATTAAGAGCTTATTTTCTAGAAGAACTTACTAGTTAGTCTCCATTTGCATTTATACAAATTGTTTTTGTTTTAATTTTGCACTCATAGCTGGATACAGTCTGACCTTCAGAGCTACAGGTCTGTATGTTTACTTATATTACACTAGCTCCTGCAACTAATTTTTGAATTCTTCCAATTTTTAAACTTGGGTACAAAAGTGGTACTTACGAGGTTGCATTCCTGGTTGAGGAGCTGGGTATCCAGATGATGGAGGATAACCTCCAGCAGTAGGCTGTTGTGTCATGGCAGGCGGTTGAGGATAACCACCTGGTGCAGCATATCCACCTGCAGGAGGATAACCTTCACCCATAGGTGCTGGATATCCAGATGCAGGTGCAGGATAGCCACTAGAAGGTGGATATCCTTGATTAGCTGGAGGATAGCCCTGTCCTCCAGGTGGATAAGGTGCAGCATTTGGGGGATAACCAGGCTGATAATTTACATCTGGAGCACCAGGATAATAAGCAGGATTTAAACCTGGGGGAGGAGCATTTGGAGTAACTGGAGGATAATTTGCCATTTCACCCATATTAGCACAATTCTGAAAATATAAATAAATTTATTAAAGAAAAATTATGCCTTGAATTAAAAGTCAAATAAAAAAACTGAAAGGGTTTAGATTTTAATGATCACAAGAAAAAAAGTTTCATTACAGTTTTGCTCAGCTCGCAATTTACCAGGCTGCAGTTGCACTCACTCCTGCTAACCCATTTCTTTTTCTTTTTAGCTTTATTATTAAGTATCATTTTCTTCACACTTACACCATACACAGTTCAACAGTTAAATTAAAAAATAAATAAATAAATAAATAAATAAAAGCATATGTTTATAGCGGCATATGTTTAGAATTCTCGATGCAGCACTATGTATTGGCATAAGATTTTCTATTTTTTCAGTCTCTCATCTATTTATTAAAACACTGTTTAGTTTTCTTAGTAAGATAGCTAGCAAAACTTTTTTTTAAAATCTTTGTCTTTTTATTATTAACGCTTTGTGTTAACTTTATTTATTAAATATCATGTTCTTTGCACTTATGCCACATAACATTCAATTCGAGAGCAAAATCACAAAATATTTAAAAACAGCATATCTTAAGAATTTCTGATACAGTCTTTTGCACTGAAGACAAAAATATTTTATTCCATATAGTGTTCCCACTACTCGCTTTAAAATCATTTTGTTAATCAAAAATCCATCAAAGTTTCATAAAATATGAAATATAAAATTCAAAATTTGGGCTTCCAGGTGCAATGTTTGAGTGGAGGATTACATTATTCAAAATTTGATGGCTGTAGGTACTGTCTTTATTTCACAGGGTAAGGATGCATGCGAGAATTGTTAACAAAATAAAATAATGTATAATCTGCATTCAGAATACATGCAGATGCTTCATTATTTAATTTCCTTAACAATAATACAGGGTGACAATATTTGGAAGCAACAATTTGAAAAGTGATGCAGCCATTTATAGTCGATGATGCAAAATTCTGTTTTGAGACTAACAGCCCATATAATGCCATTTTGATCTAATAAATCCCAAATTAAAAAAGCCAAGGATAAACTTTGACATTTTTGTCTATGCACAACTTCATAACTTACTTATATACACACACATATTATGCTAACATACAATGATAAAATTTAGAAAATTTTGACATTTGAATCAATTATCTCCAGAATTAGTAGATAGGTTTTAATAAAATTTATCATGTACTCGTATGTAAGACTGATATATCATAAATAATATCAAATACAACAATCATCCATAAAAACAAGTTGAACACTAACTGTACCCCTGGAAATGCGAACACAGATCTCTTCCCTATACCTCGCAGTAGTCACAAAGCCTTTATCAAAGACATGAAGGTCTATTTCTCATCCAACATGATACCTGCCCAGACCATCAAACATGAACTGTCAGACTGGATGGTGCAGGTAGCAGGTCATTGGTTTGCTCTAGATGAAGGTACATCAAAAATTAGTGGTTAGGCTGAATCAGGATTCATCGTTGAACAGAATAGTCTTCCACTGGTGCTTTGTCCGAAAACAGTGTTATCTGTACCATGCAAAATGGGTTTGCTTCTGCACAGAAATGTGTAGGACACAAACACAGCAGGGCTTCTTGCAATCAGGTAAGATCTTAGAGCCTTACGTTCACCTTTTCAAGGGTATAGTTAGTCCTAGGTTCAGTTTTTTGGACAACAATGCTCATGCACATAAGGTTAATTCAGTGCATGATTTTTTGGAATATGAGGATATTAAGCAGATGTTTAGGCCAGCCAGATATCAAGACTTAAATCTTATAGAAAATGTCTGAGACACTCTTAATTTTGTATCATACATTCAAAGCATTTTGGAAAAATATCTGTTTAGTACAGTTTTCCTGTTTTGTCAAATGATATAAAAACAGCCTATCACCCTGGCTCAGTATGGGGTTACCATGTAAGGGAAAATTACAAAGGATGGCTGATGATGGGGTATCCAGTGAGTGGTTGCTAAAAACGAACAATTTAATTTTTTTCCAAAATGAAGGAAAAAGGCACATGTCTTTTAACAGTAAAGCAGGTATGAAAATTGTTTAAAAGAGCTGTTCATCCAAAAAAAAAATAAATAGATACATGATAGCAGGAGAAGGTCAACTGCAACTTGTCTTTTAGCTCCCAGTTACACTAGTCTATAATGAGCATGAAGATTAAGTATTGTCTATAATGAGCATGAAGATTAAGTATTAAGACAAAGGCCCTAACTCCTTGCCAGTATCACCCAAGTCCAGTACGAGCAACTACTATGTGGTGCCGTATTTGTAACGACCGAAGTCTTCGGGCAGAAGAAAAATTTGTTTTTCTATTTTGTGAAGTCTGAACTGAGTCCATTAAGCTTTATGATATTTAATTTTTGCTTTAGGATATTAAATTTAGACTTAATTCCTTATTTTCAAAACAAATAGAGCTACTGGTCCTACTTTTTCACGGACTTCAGTTGGGGGAAGGCGTGTTGAATTTTGGCTGTTTTTCGGTGAATTTTATACCAAAAAGTTTTCTTTCTTTTTTTGCAATGTTTGATTCAAACATTGATGAAGAGTTTAAGTTATCTGGGATCAGATTGTGTGCGACAGGCTTGCATGCAGTACTGTATATCATAATGTAAAAGATTTGTGAATATTCAAAATCATATTGTTGTATTAACATTGCTTTATATTTAGCTTCCAAATTTTGTTTAATTTGCTGTAATTGAATAACACATGTCTGTAATCGATTCCTTTTTTTATGTGTATGTCAAAATAGTAAATATAGTAGCTATTGCATTTAATTTTTTTTTTTTTTCGTAAATAACCATTTTGTAACTTTTATATTGATATACAGAACAAAATTAAACAGTGAAATATTTTTTTCCCCATTTTTGGTGCATTTTTCTGAAATATATGCCACAGTTAAGGGGTTAATACTTAATTTTCAGGCCAATTTTGCATACATGCATATTTTTTCTGTAATTATATACAAGCGAGAAGCAATTTATAAAATAAATTCCTTTATTATCTGTTTGGAACAGCACTCCAATTGGTAACACTTTGGCTCCCTGTTCCAGCTTTTAAAAACATCATATCCATTCAGAAAATAAGCATTACCAATTCAAACAAAAGAAAACTACCTCAACGAGTCACAAAATAATTTTCAAGGATGTTTTCTTTATTAGCGGTTGCAGAGAGAAGGAAAATATGCTCTGCAGTAAAATCTAGAAGTAATTACTTCTTCAGGCTATACACATTAAACATCTTAAAAGTATACTTGGAAAAAGTGCTGAACACTATGGAGCTCTCAGGGGTTCATACAAGCCATTTACAAAATTTGTCTTTAATTTGAAAGCCCCCCTTTTTTTACGTATGTGTTTACTTATTCTAAGAAAAATATATTTTGCATACCATAGTCAAACTTTAATCTAGTATACTTTGTATATCATGCCAATAAAGCTAAACAAAGCAATTCAGCAGAAAGGCATATAATTCGAGACTGTGATGTAGCCGTTCCTCAATAGACACTAATGCCGGCTAGCTTTAAAAGGAATTTATTAACAGAGCACACAGGAACGGTACAAACAAAAGAAATATACATAAAAAATGAAACATATACCAAATGGAACATCAAACATTGAGAATAACATAACATAGTAAGCTATCATCATGGCGGCTGGAGGTCGACTGACGTTTTTTCATATCGCCACGAGATGGCGTTTAAATAAAATAGTTCGGTTACAGTTCATGAGTTCATGGCGTGAATAAAATAGTTCAATTACACTTAAATAGGTCTGTTACAAGACTATAATAAAAGAATAAATTTTCTGAATTCGAAACCCATTTTAGCAGAAGAAACAGAATTACGATTACATTTTTTAATGTAATTGACATTGCTCTTTATCTTGTTGACAGAAAGACTTCAGCAGTCACTGTTTTGATGTGTTTGGTGCTATTTGTGACATTAGGAACCTGCCAAAAAGTAAAGAATATCTGAATGGCAGTTGTAATAAACTTGTGGATGCTTTAAGTGACCCAAAAAAATGAGAAGATATATATAATATATATATATGTATATACATCCTAGGTCTAGACAAACTATCCCTCATATTATCACAAACTGCCAACACCTGTTTGACATTCCTTGCCAAGAGTACTTCGTTACATTTATAAAAAGAATTTGGAAGACACTTGCAAATGTGTCAACTGCACCGAGATCTGTACACTTATGTCAATAGCCTCAGGGAAATGCCGCTTCTGAGAACTAAAGCTGATTAATAAGTTACTTACAATCTTCAACGAATGAATAATGGTAAATGTATAGTTTAGGGTACCCCTTGGCGATTTTTGGCGGTGCATGGATACCGATTTTGTACAATTCTTTGACTCGTTATTTTGGCTTGCGAAGCGGCAAAAATCGCCGCTACACAAAGCCAAAATAACGAGACAAACAATTGCACAAACATGGCATTCATGTTCACATCGACTTATTTTCACTTAAAAAAGAATTTCCCCAATTGCACAAAAATGGCATTGCTCACTCCTTTATCCATGTACACGTCGACCTATTTTCACTTAAAAGAAAATCCCAGAATTGCACAAACTTGCACTGCGCACTCCCTTTACTTTGTCCATGTACACATCGATATATTTTCATTTAAAAAGTCAAAGGAGCACCAAATTCTACAATATAGACAAACAAAAAATATATATAATCTCAATAAAATACATTTAAACCAAACAATAACATAAAAAAAGGAAAAACATGTTATACATTTAAGCACTACCAAAAGCAAATATTCACTTACCATGATTTTCGATTTCACTTCGTACACCCAGAGCCACGTAGAAATCAAAATATCAATCATACTCAAATGACTTTTTTCAAACCAGGTACTCTTTCTGATCAAACGCTTCACATAGTGACCATCTGAACATTTCTTCCTATAAACCCATTCAAATCCATCTAAATGGTTTTTACATTCGACTAGACGCATATCCTTCCTACATACAGAGCACTTATAATGGCTACT